AATGATGTAAAGTCATCTTAAAGAAAATGAGTCAATGGAACAAACAGGAATTGTATCACCAATACTTAAAGTAGTTGAGTTTAATTCATTTTTGGAGGATTACGTTATGTTAATGTATAGGTACTATAGTACTTGTCCTTGCTAACTCCCTTAGCCGTATTCATTTCCGACCATGAATCAATTCTCCAAATGGAACTACACTGCAAACCAACTCATCTTGAATTTGGAGAAAAAGGGATAAAATGCTAAATGAATGACTACAAGCAATAGTGCCTTGTGTAAAGCCAAAGTTATGGTCCTATTATAGATTTGTAGTTTGTTTTAGTTTTGGATGAATATATACAACTTATATAGTACTTATACTTTACTTTTTGTAGTTGGCAATAAGGAAATGCTTGCCCTACTATTGGTGGACCCCAACATTGGTGAGTCCGTCTGTTCAGCAGCTACTCACAAGAATCTCATTACATTTTCCCTGGATGTCCATGGTCTGCACCCCCTGACATTTTATCTGGTGCAAGTGTCAATAACACTTTTGGTCACTGACAAGTTGTCTCCAACGTCAGTATAAGTTGCTCTGGGTAGTCATAGTTCTCAAAGGATGAATTTGTATGTTTTTGTGACTCCCTTTTCTGAAATGTCCCTTTGTGCACAACAATTGCTAAAATCTGCTGTCATGAAATTATCAGAGAACATCCGTGCTCCCATAGGGACAAACTGTTATATTTTGAATTACACTATTTTTTGGTCTGTTGTGCATCAGGACAAACATGCATTAGTATGTTCAACACTTTTCCTGTTGTGGGTGTAGTGGAAATTGCAGCCTCAAGTGGCAGCTAGCGGGAATACTTGTAGGGTTGTTCAAAAGGAAAAATCAAAAGGAAGTTTAGGAATGTCGTAGAAATAAAATTATTGTTTTTAGAGCCATGCTTTAAAGACATTGCACAGAGGAAAAGAGAGGACCAATGCACTGAGCAGCACTGACACACACAGTTCCCTAAGAAGCAGCCATAGAACTAGTGCTGAGGCTGCTTTACTTTGTATTCCCAAACTAAGTTATATGCAGCAAATGTTTATTTTTAAAATGATGGTAATTTTTGTTACCCTAGCAGCATGAGCTGAGTGATCATGTGATTGCACTTACATGAGGTAGGTGTGTTGGAAACCCTCCCAGCATGCACCGTGGCAACAGATTCATGGACATAAGTCTCCGTTCTGCATTGTGCTCCACAGTGTTTCCACTGTTTCGACAGTGATCACTGTCAAACAGTTAAATATCACCAATGAATGTGGTCAAACTACAAGCCATGTTGGTGCATAATTAATAAGAAGTGGGCTTCTCCTTAATGGACATGCAAGAGACTTTAAAGGTCCAGTGTGTTAACATGTAGGAGGATCTATTGGCAGAAACAGAATATAATGTTCCTTTTAATGTTTTCGTTAGCTTAGAATGAGCTGTTTTTATCTACAGAGGGAGCGAGTTCTCTTCTACAGACTCTGCCATGTTTCTACTGTAGCTCAGTACTGGCAAACTGAACACTGACTCTAGATTGGGCCTTTCATGTTTTTGGCGATTTTCGAGGCCACTGCAGTTTCTCCTAAACGCTTGGAAGGCAAGTCATATTCAGTTGGTTGCAATCTACAACTTCACCGATACATGTCACTAAATCTTACAAACCAATCCTTTAAAGTGATAATCATAAATCTGCTATGAAAATGAACTTGATATGTTTTATGTCATGCCGAATGTTCTGGCTCCATTGCTATTTCAAGAGTCAGAATCGTCTAGTTGAGTTTATGTCTTTTCCTCACAGCATCTCAAACTACATTGGGATTGGTGCTTTCTTAGTGTACAATCCTATTTTGTTGTATTATAATTGTATCATGTATAAGTATACGTAACTAAATTAAATTGTGATAATGACATCGACAGATGATAATGATTTCTCAGTGTTGTCTAAAATATCTTGGTCCTGATCCAGTCGACTGTCAATAAGCTGGTACATTTTCAGGTTTGGGTTAAAGGACTTGTTGTCGCTGTGACAACAGTTCTAAATCAATTTTAAGTCAGCTTGGAGGAACCATCTGAACATCTTAGTTACTTCTACTGAACAGTTTGGCTTCTGCTGTCTCACCTCTTCTGCATTTACCACTGTGCTGGATTTAGCTTCTCCACCTGATCGACAAGAGCGACAGTACAAAATATGATCTGCAATATTACATACATATTACATATTCTTTGATGTATTTATTAACTATTATATAACTTTAGTTGATGACCAGAGAACACGGAATATATTGATCAGAATCCTGGATAAGGTGATTACAGGTCACAGTATCACAGTGTCAGTATCAGAGTACTCCAGTTAGCATAGGATTCTCAAAACCGGGATAAGGGCTTATCCAGGTTTCTGAAACTAGTATATGGTGTTTACATGCACAACACGAAAACACGTTGTTGAGTCGGTCAGGCCACCACTTTGATTCTGAAATACAGAAATAACAGCTATTGGATTGGTCAGTGTTAGCATGCCAGTACCTGAAACTAGAGTGGTTAACATGGTAAATATTACATGCTAAATATTGGTCTTAGTCTTGTTTTGCTCCCCAGTTTAATCAGCAGATCTGATCATCATCTAATTTCTCATCTGTTTCTGGGGACTGTGTTCGATCCCTGGCTCCTCCTGCTGCATGCCCAAGTGTCCTTGAGCAAGATTCTGAACCCCAAATTGCTCCTGATGCTGTGTAGTGTATGAATATGTGTGATTGGGTGATTGTGACATGTAGTTTAATGTTAAATGGGCTGTACACATGCCACACACATTCATACACTGATGGCAGCCATGCATGGTGCCTACTGCTCACCAGAATGGAAACTACTCATTCATGCACACTCATACACCGAGCAATTTGGGGTTCAGTGTTTTGCTCAAGGACACTTCGGCATGCGGCGAGAGGAGCCTTCCGATTAGTGGACAACCCGCTCTACCTCTGAGCCACAGCCACCCCTGTGTAAATTGCTTTGAGTGGTAAGAAGACTAGAAAGGTGCAATATAAGTGCAGTCCATTTACCATCTTCATGGTGTTAATGTTTATCATAGACTGTGTTACCACCTGGTATTTAAACATTATTTTGAGAGGGGATTCTGAACATCTGATTACTTTGGATCAGGGTGCATCCTCAGCTAGTTTCTATGTCTGTATTTTATCAAAGCTAATATAATAATACTTTTTCTCACTATGTCACTCACATGTATTGTGCCTGCATTGCATCCAAACTATGTCAATTTAATCATGTGAGCCTCAGCACTGGAGTGTCTGATCTTGCAGACTCAGTAAATCTTCTTCTTGCAACAAATAGTAAAATCTACATCAGGATAGAATCAAAACCTAAAGTCCCTCTCAAATTGATTGACAGCCCTTAAATACACTGAGGCAACTAATCTAAATTATTCATGTTTTATAGTGCTGTAAATGTTAACATGAGTAATGTTTGTAAACGGCGGTTGTACAGGCCATTGACAGTATATATAATGGACAGAGCTTCCGGGTCTGTGAAGCTGACGCCGAAGTGTCTTAAACCTGCATTCTGTGTAATGGCCAGTAGGGAGAGCTGCATTGGTTGCAATAAAAAGCTGATAGTAAGCACTCTAATGGAGAAATGACCCAACTTCTCACTTGATTTATTAGCTCAGTAAACAGTTTCCTGTTGAGTTGAGTGAGTTTTGAGTTTGAGCTTTTGGTCTCATTCTCTAGTTTCAGTCTTCGTCCATACAGCATGTTCATTTAGTAAATGATGGTCCCATTTAGAGTAAAATAAGCTTTTGGGCGTGGCTACCTTGTGGTTGACAGGTCATTCTCAGTGAGTCCAGCCAGCTCAATGCACCAAACTCAGATCAAGCTGTTAAACTAGGCAGTGCTGATCAGATATGAATCCAGATTCTGTTACTGCACTGATTATTTCTCTCCTAAAATCCTTTCATGAACATATTTTAGTTGACTGTTTAGCTGTTATATGAGATTGTGTGTGACCAGGTGAGCTACCATTGTTTCCTGTTATGGATGAGTCGAAACTGCGCAGCCAATGACAGCAGCTCAACTTGCAGTACGTCCCCTCCGCTGGCTCTGTCTAACTGTCATGGCGACGACCATAATGCTGAACTCTAGGTTTCAAAACAGTACTCCACAAACCAATGGGTGACGTCACGATAGGTTCACACTTAATACAGGCCTGTATTTTCAATTATGATCAAAAAACAGGTCAAATTGGGTCTGATGTGGCCTGCTTAATGCCTCCTTTTGTGACTGGATGATTAAATTCACATACAAGAATTGGTGTTTAGTGTGATGTTTTGTTGATATGTTGATATTTTAATTGTTAACCAAAGATGTGTGTTTTGTTAGTTCAAGAAAATGCAATCTATTAAATTCTGAACTAAATTAAAAAAGAACAAGAAAATACACAACCAGCTTGAACAACAAAACTTGGTGGTTTAGGGTAGTGCTTCACTTCAGCCTCATGAAACTTTAATCACCTCTGGATTCTGTGATGATTCAATTTGATAAAAAAAAAAAATAGTATTTTTAAAGAACAGTATATAAATAAAAAATGTTTTCGATGCTGCAGCACAAACGCAGACTCAAATTTACAACTGAACTCAGAACAAATTTTTTTGATAACATAAAATTGTCTCGTTTATCTATAATTCAGATCTGAGGGAGCGGCATTAGCCAGGGTACAGCGTAAAATGTGTGCACCCTCTGTACCCAAATGATATATTTGCAGCAGGAGAGTCACATGCGGGTCCCCTTAAAGAGGGAGAGCGAACAGTGATCCGAATCAGTCAGCTGCACTGTGGACCATGTGTGCATGCGTCCTCCTTCCCTCTCATTCAGCTGTTTTAAACCGACACCTCCCCCCCTCCTTCCCAAATCCTGCTCCCGCTCCGAGTGCAGTCATTTCTAGTGCAGAGAAATGTCCCTGGTGACACTGAGGGATGACGCAGGCTCTTTCTTCCTTTCTCTGTTCCACTACCCCCCCACCAACACCATCTTTTCCCTCTTTTGACTTGCTCTCTCCTTTTTTTTTGCTCTGGCGCTCCCCCCTTTCTCCATTTCCTCTCCCTGTCTCCCTCTCCCCTCCCTGTCTCCCTCTCCCCTCCCTGTCTCCCTCTCCCCCTCTCCTCTTGCTGCCTCCCCCCTCTCTCCCCTCCTTCTCGCTCTCTCTCCCTCTCCCTCTCTCGCTCTCTCTGCTCCGGCACTGCAGTGCTGATTGTGATTGCACACACACTCGCACACACATACACACACTCACGCAAGCACACACACGCACACACACACACAGGAGCATAGCTGAGAGGCAAGGACTGCAGCAGCATGCACCAACCGCGGCTGAGCTGTTCGGGGACACGAGGAAGAGGAACTGAGGAGAGAAAATAGTGTGCTATCTCACACCAGCCTGCGTGTGCATCTTTGCAGCGATGGGAACGATGCATTTCAAGAGCTGATAGCTTATGTTATCCGGCCTCCTCTGCACTGCCTCTGCATCCCATTCACCCTGCTCCTCCCACTCCAACTCTTCCTCCTCCTCCTGTCTACAGCATCATTAGACAGGACTACAGATTGACCGGGACTGGCAAGTGGTGGATGGTCAGGTTTGCCCCGGCTGAAAGATTCTTCTGTGGCTATGCTACATCTACACCATCGCTGAGGGCTGGATTGTATTTGACATTCGGAGCTAGAAGATAACCCACAACCTGCAAGAAATCTTGGATGTGTGTGTCATTCTTTGCCAGTGTTGTCATTGGCGCATTTCCTCTATTTCGCTGGTTGTTTTTGCCTTCTCTGAGACTGGCTAGCAGGCACTGCAGCATCAGGACCGCAAGACCCATGAAGCGGTAGGGCATGAGGACCCAGGGGCGACCCAAAGGAAGGGCTTGAGTGCTTCCATTGCTACCACTGCTGCTGAGGTGCTTATCTTGATTTTTTTTTTTTTCTCCAGAAAAGGGAGTCTGGTGGGGGTTGGGGTGGGTGGTGACAGCACAGGTACCCAGGCCCCTGCAGAGCAGAGCGGGTGGCTCTTGCGTCGAGGCAGGCAGGACGTCCTGTGGGAAAGGGGGGAAGAAGGGCCGGCTCGAGCGTTGGGCTCCTGATGGTGGCTATTTTTGTCTCCCCTAGCTGAGTGATTGGGACAGCGGGTGGAAGAGAAGATGCTTATGGCCCGAGACACGGCGCGGGATGAGGCTCAAAAGCTACACAGGAAGTGGCTGAAGCACCAGGCCTTTATGGCGGAACTGGCCCGCAATAAAGAATGGCTGGCCAAGATAGAACAGGTGAGTGGAGGTGACCAGGGCACGATGATGGGAAGGGAGGGTTGGATGGGGAGGTCAGATAGGCAGAGCAGGTGAGTCGAGGGGTGAGGGTACCATGCCAAAGAGGACACATGACAGGAAACCGTGTTGATAGTGGGTGTGGTGGCTGTAAAATTGCATAGGTGAAAGTGGGAGAGATGTCATCACTCAGCTTTCATTTCATCACTTGGCTTGGGGACATCCTGAATTACAATCTCAAGGTTATATTGCTGTAGTGGCTGTGTTGTTTTCAGATTCACAGGTTGCATGATCCCTGTGGTTCTCTGCCCTTTTTGCACAGAGGTTAGACCATCTGTATCTCACTGCTCAGTTACGGAGGTTACAGTGAATCATATAGAGGACATGTAAAGCTTTGCAGCAGTGAAGGCCAGACATATGGAGAATGCATATTCCTTTCATTTTTATGTATTCATGTGAGGAACACACAGCTGATATATAAGATCGGTTCACATCATGAAACATTCTCAGGTTCGCTTCTTTGCCCCTGCATTCCCATCATCCTTTGCTACCCTAACAGAGCAACATCCCATCCACACAGAATGTTCTCCATGCCCTCTGCCTCAGTGAAGCTCAGGTGGGCTCTTGAGATGCAAATTACTCAATGAGACTCCATTCTGTTAATGGCACATTGCATTTGGCCCGTTTAAGTCACAAACATATTGCTGCTGTCAGAAAAATGGGATTTTTAGCTCTGTCACATGTCAGGCTGCTGCTGATGAGGACATGTAGAGAATATGAGATGCAAGTGTTAAGTTAGCATAAAACATCACCTTGACTGTACTGTAAATGTGTAATGGTTTATAATAACTGATTCAGATTGATGAGATGTTGGGCAATGTGATGTGGTAAAACCAGGAAGTGCTCTTTTGCATCCAGCCCCCAAGCATCATATAGCAAAATGTCAGACAGAAACCATTTTTGCAGCAGAAACCCAATAATCCCCCACATTTCTATAAATATTTGAATCATTATTTTCTCATTAGAAACTTAAGGCAGGTTAATGAGCACATAACTAATTTCCTTTCATGCATTTTAGTGGCCAAACGTCAGTTCACAATGATTTAGATAGATAGATAGATAGATAGATAGATAGATAGATAGATAGATAGATAGATAGATAGATAGATAGATAGATAGATATACTTTATTGATCCCAAGCTGGGAAATTATCATGCCAAGTATGTTATATTAGCAATGTTTTCCATTTTTTAAACTTGAAATCTAAAAACAAATGAGTGGCTCCCATCAGTCCTCTACCTGTCCCAGTGTGCAAAGGATAAGACTAAAATACATACATACGAGTGACTCTTAGACACATGTTTAAAGAAATAAAAGCTGAATAATGTGGTTGTAGTGTTAGTGAGGTTTATCAGATTTTGACCTTGCTTAAATGTATTTACATCTCTGATATTATCCTGAGAGGTTTTGTTGACATTCCGAGTTTTTTTAATTATTAATTTTTGTATTGAATACATTAGGAAATTCATTTGACTGTATAGATTTTTACACATTTTTTGTAGTATATACAGTATTATTAAATATTCATAAGATAGCAGTGTAACTAATTATAACCATGGTGCTTGAAGAAAAGCTCTGCTACTGTATATAACCTAATGAGGAAATCCTTGTAAGCCATCCTGGTTGTCCATGTGTGAAATGTATTTAAAGGTTTATCATGCTATAGTCTAGACCCTCCCATTAAGCTAGCAGACACCTTTGTTAAGTCACGATGCAAAAGAGCTACAAGATGACTTCTACATGCCAATCAGTGTGTGCAGATAGCTTTTAGCAGATGTCTTTATTTATTTCTTTGCCATAGACAGTTTTTCTATAAGTTCCTAGGTTTAGTCACTGAATCCATGCAGTCAAATGCATGTGTCCTCAGCAGTGCTATGTCCTATGGCTTAATCGTGCAGAATAGTATGTTTGTTTGAATATTGCCAGTTGAACACATGTTATTTTAAAAGTACAGAAACTCGCATACGAGCAAGAATCTAGCAGCATACTGTAGCTTAATCAGAACTGTAAGAGATTTAACATTGTCAAACAGATATAGGTTTGGAGTCCATTGCAAGTGCAATAATGTTACATCTATTTGAAATTGAACAAGAAAGCCAGTTTGCTTTAGTATATACTGTAAAGTCAAATACAGATTACAAGACACTGCATGAAAGGTAAATCCAATCCAAAAAAACAATGCTTGACTCATTATCTGAACCAAATACGGTTTGCTAGATTTACAGTTTTCTGCTCTGGTTTTTATAATGCATAATGATCAATTGACAGAAAATGTATCTGCAGTGACCTAAGTCATTTTTCAAGCAAAACACCTGCCAATCTCTGGTTCCAGCTTTTCAAATGCAAGGATTTCTCTGTTTAATGTCATTGTGAATGAATATCTTTGGGATTGGGCCTGTCCCTGTTTGAGTCAGGAAATACAAGCAGTTTGAGCTTTAGGAAGTTGTTATCCCTCATATCTGTCATATTGTGTCCTTTGTTGTATATTAGTTGTTGTTCTTTGGGTTCTTGGTTCCCAAATCATATAGTGATAAGTTAGGTTTCGGTTTCATCTCAGTTTATGAATGCTGTGTGTTTAGTTTGATGATGAGAGGTTAAACAGATTTAGCATTTGAGGAATCTTAAATGAAAGAGCTCTACAGTCAAATAAAGAAAATCACTTTTCACATATTAAAAGCAAACTGGTAAGGCCTATTGTCAACATCCTGATCATATGCGTGTTGTTATCTTCAACACTGATGAAAGAAATAACATAACTTGGATGGGTAATATTCATGTCTTCGTGGAAGATTGGAGTGGAGGAGTGAGTGTCTGCTCACATGATTTAATGATCACAGTTAACTGAGATATACTCTATAGAGCATATGTGACTGGGTATATTTAAAATCCTTTCACTATCTTGAACATTTCTGTATTGAATTAAATTAACAACTGTATTTAGTGTTAGTCATTTCATTTGGCAGCTGCACTGTAGCTGGAAAGAAAGACCTGTCTAGATGTGTCCTGGGACCTACAGTGTATCCTGTGGTTCTTTGGTTCTTTGTTTTGCCTTTATGGGATAGTTTACAGTAGAGCTACAGACAGGAAAGGGAAAGGGGGAGGGTCTGGATCGATCGAACCATTGACAGTGCAGTTATGGTGTGCGTCTTCGACCACCATGACACCCTCTAAACCATACCCAGCCACCTTTTAATATATATAACAATAAGATTTTGATAATTCAAGTTCCCAGAATTAAAAAAGAATACAGTTGTTCTGCCTATCACGTGAGTGTAGTCAGAGAGACACAGAGAGGTCCTCTGCCTGGAATGACATCTCAGCTCGAAATGAAAACGGACTGACACAGGATACGGCTTTACTTCTGAATCATCAGCGTATTTGTATAACCTTTCATGCCAAATACCAGATAAATCAACTGAAAGGATTGACACTGAGTGCAGAAGATGGCTGCCCCATAGAGGCTGTCTCTGCTGTGCTGACTGGCACGTTTTCCTAAAGTTCCTGTGTACGTAGCCCCGCACAGACGGTTTACAGAGACCCTCGTGTCTCCATAGCCCTGCTAACATCACTTAATCTACCCCCATCGCCACTCTCTCTGTTGTTACCTGAGAGACAGACAGAAAAGATGACGCCGCGTCCTGCCGTGATCGGAGAACTCTGCGTCCTTTTGGAAGGGTTCCTGCCTCGGCCCCTCTCCTCTGTTCTCTCTCAGTACTTACTCAGCACATGAAGCAGGCGCACAGCTCCGGGCCGGCTCCCATATGTGGAGGATCTGTGGGTGCTTCTCTGTTACAGTGAGAGGACTCACAGCTGACCTTGTGCCAGGCCTTTCCAGTGAGCTCCAGGGTCGATGCTTGATAAACACACAGACAAACCATGGGCCTGTCTGGAGCGCATACAGTAGATCAGTGACAGATTAAGAACACAGGACACTTACATGTTTAAATATGGACACTATAGCAATTGGTCACCTCTGTCTTATTGGGGATACCCGGTACATTTTCTCAGTGTTTTGGGATCAATGTGAATTTTTATTAAGGGATATATTAGAGGCATCTTCATTCATTAATTTACTTACTGCCCATTTTGAACTGTCCAAATTGAAAAAATTCAAAAATAATTTAAATCATCTTTTACTCTTTATCCTTAGCTCCTCCTTTGTATGTGATTGGTAGAGCCTGGGATGATGCTCTCACCTCGAAACATACATTCAGTGTATTTGTATGGCTGACATTATTCCATAATATTATCGTTGTCAATAAATTTCATGTAGACCAAAACTAAGATGGTGTTTGTCCAGTGGTTCTCAACATGGGGTTCAGGGACCCCCAGGAGTCTTTGAGGGACTTCTGGGATCCTAGTGGGTCCCCAGAAAAATGGCAGATATTTTAATTTCACTATTTATTTAATTCAAATAAAAGTTCTAATAACAGAAGGGGGTCCCTGAGACTACATTTTATCAAATGCAGGTTTGTGTCAGTTTTGGGATTCTTGACACCAAAAAGGTTTGCCTCTTTCACTGAAGACAATTTGAGACATCACAGTGGGAAAAGCACAGGTGTAAATGATCAAATAAATGATGGCTGACTTCCATTTAGCTGCTTCAGTTTCAGGGTCCTGCTATTGTGCATGCTGGCTCACTTTCACACTGTCATGGCGACACAAAGCCATTGTCAATGTCATTAGAAACACGTGCTTTTCCTACTGTGACAAGTCAGAAATATCTGCGCTGACAAAGGCCTATACTTTCCCACCTCCCTACCCTATATGTGGCACAAGCCTGTCTATAAAATGCTGTTTTGTGTAATGTAGTTTTTTTTATGTTTCTAAAATAGCTGCAATCTGTAGTGTTAGCAAATATTACTCAAACAGGTATAAATTGTTATTGTGCATGGGACTATTTTCAGATTACATTGGGTGCTGTAGAGCAGTACTACTAAACTTGCTTTGCCCAGGGGCCACTTTTGCAGGCCAGTTAATAAAGAACCATTTAAAATATTTATGAATAACTCAACTTTCTTTGCAGTTCTTTATTTTCAGATTAAGTGATTTATTAAATTATTAACTAATTTGACTTGGTACAATATTACAGATACTTAACTGCATTTGATAGCTGCAACTGCATTTCAGCTGGAAACACTTTGGTTACATTTAAAAGAGTTAAAGGTCCAGTGTGGGACATTGAGGAGGATCTATTGTCAGAAATGGAATATAATATTCATAGGTATGTTTTCATTTGTGTATAATCACCAGAAAATAGGAATCATTGTGTTTTTGCTACCTTAGAATGAGCTGCCTTTATCTGTAGAGGGAGCGGGTGTGTGGCCAGAACGGAAACTAAAACACTGGTTCTAGATAGGGCTTTTCGCTTTTTTTGCCAGTTTTGTGGCCACCGTAGTTTCTCCTCTACGCTTCACAGCCCGTTCTCATTCCCATGTCATCAAATACAGACATGAACAATGTTCAGTTAGTTGGCACCACTAGATGACACTAAATCCTACTCACTCCTTTAATACAACATTTAATATATTTGGAACTAGGCATGGGACGATTATCTTGGCCAAAATACGATATTATCACAAAAAATTTAAACATACATAATACTTTTAACACTAAAACATACTGGAATCTCTTTACCTTACATTTTATTAAGAAACACATATATTTATTGTATTATAGATTACCTGATCTCCCTGCTCTGTATTTCAGATTCTATACCATTTCCAGACATCCAGCAATCCACCATGATACATTTATCTGTGTTTTCTATCACCATATGCAATAATATTGTCTATCATCCCATCCTTGGAACCTCTTCCATCATGCAATCACTCAAATGATGGAATGATTTGTAAACTTAAACCATAAACATAAACTGCTAATACTAGGGACATAATGAAGAGCATATTCAAGCTCATTTAGTGTGTGTAGGCCAATATGCAACGTCACAATGTATTAATTGGTATAAACTGACACAAAAATTCACAGTGTGAATCAATTTATTTTTATTGTGAATTAGAGGATGATCAGTGGGCCACCCGGCACCCTAAATTTGGCCCGCAGGGCTCAATATGAATCACCTTCAAGCCACAAAGGAGAAACTATGGTGGCCACCAAACTTGCAAATAACACAAACGGCCCTAGCTACAGCCAGTGTTTGGTTTGCTGTTCTGGTTGATTGTATAAACATGGTGGTTGAACATGGTGGCCTCCATGGGAGGCAACCTGCCACGTCTGTAGATATTAAAGGCTCATTATGAGAATGAGTCCTGTATTCAGGTGATTATACACTAATAAAAACTTATGAATATTATATTTAATTTCTGACAATATACTGTATCCTCCTAAATGTTACATACTGGACCTTTAAGTAGAGAGGTTGCTGAAGTCTCATAGCTAAGCAGTTTCACAATTTACAATCTCAACTATTTTAACCTCTTATGTCATGAAAGTAATGTTTAACTTAAGAAATTTTATATTTTCAGGCAGAAACACTGATCAAAATTGATTATAACATCAGAAGATCATTTCTTCTTCATTTAAACTCTAGCTGTAATAAACCCACTCTAAAACCAGATAAGTTAATTTAACTTAACAGTGCTCCAGTCATATCACACTCCTGCTATAAAACAGCACTAAACACTACAGCTTACAATTTATTTGCAATGCATTAGAAACAAAGGTGCAGCTGCAGGTAACCATCTTCTCAGGGCTATTTTTCACTTGGAGATTCCAAACACACTTTAGTGGGTGAACACGCTTAATATTACATTGGGGTTTAATAAATATACTTTCATTGAGTAAGCATTATATTGTCTTGATTGTCTCTTGAAAAGGTAAAAACCTCAAAAACTCTCTTCGGAAATGAATTACAACTGTTTTGTTACAGCATACATTTTTAACATCCAACAGTGACTTTCAGTGGTTTAGTTCGACTTTGTAACAATATTTTTTTTCAATAAAAAGTGAACCAGCAGTAGAAATGAGTAACAGTCTCTCACTTATTTAATGCAGTATAGATTAAATTACCCATCTGCTGCTTTCACTAGCTGTACACACTGTGAACTCTGAAAACACACACGCATACATCATCCGAGTCACTACAACACTGTTGTTTTTCTCAAGCCTAAAGCCTTCTCAAAAGGTTTATGACATTATCTTAAAGGTCCAGTGTGTAACATTTTGGAAGATTTATTATTATTTATAAATTGAATATAATATCCATAGGTATGTTTTTATTAGTGTATAATTACCTGAAAATGTGGATTGTTGTGTTTTTTGCCATGTTTCTACAGTAGCCTAGAATGGACAAATGCTTTTTTGCGCATTTCACGGCCACCGCAGTTTCTCCTTTGCACTTGGAATGCGAGGGTGAAGCAAGGGAGTGGCAGTCTGCAGCTAAATCCCACACACTGGTCCTTTAAACAGTGATAACGTTGACCTTATTTAGCATATGCCGTTTCGAAATAATGGATAATATGTAGAAATATACTTAAGTATTCAATGCTCATTAGTGTCTGAGTATTTCATGAGGATTTTAGTGTATATCCCAGCTGGAAGTTGATGGAGATGGAAAAATCCAGAATTGTAAATAACGGCACATCCAAAGTTGACAGTTTGCTGTGTGTTATTGTAATAAATAGTATAAGTGTTGTATTGTGGGTTGGGCTAAAGGAAAAATATGGCATCATAAAGGAAGCTGGCATCTTCATTCAGTGATATTTGCAGCATTGGTTAGCTAAATTTGAATTTGGATGTGTGCTTGGTGTTAGGATGTTTCTTTGATTCTCCATTGGTGTAAGTGTTATGCAGATAATAGCATAAGTTGCAGTGTTACTTGTATGCATACGGTAGGTATGAATTCATTGTTTGTGCCAGTAGTATAAAACAAGCCCTTTAATCCCACCCACTGTTTGATTATGCTGCATCAGCATTACAAGAAAGCCTGCACAATTTGGCAACACAATGCTGCCATAATAGCATGATTCATATGTGGTAGCCATTAAAATATCGCACTATGTCAGCCATGACTGTCTCGAAAATTCACTTCACAGATGCCCTTTGGATCCAACTGTGCCCAGGCTGTAGCACAGCCCCACACACCCGCAGCCTCATTCCTGTTCCATAAACCTTTGATTCTTCCTCCTTTTGCTTCCCTTCTTCCTTTACTCTGCTTCTCTCCACCCCCTCTCTGATTTCTTCTCCCTCTGCCTCACTCTGTGTGTCAGTAAAGCCAAGAGAGGGAGAGAGAGAGAGAGAGAGACCTGCTTTCTGCTGGCTCTGCATTATGAGAGGGAGAGCGAGGCTGAGGAAAGATAGGAGCATGAGAGAGAGGGATGTGAGAGAGTGAGCGCTAGCAGCAGTTAAGCAGAGAGCCTGTGCCAAGAGGAGGAATGCAGCACTGCATTATGAAAGCCATAGGATATAGGTCCAGCTCTCTGTAAAGATAAAGGAGAGAAGCAGAATTTAGATGATAAAATCCATCGTGTTCGCGGCTGTTATTACAACATGAGCTAAGTGAATAATGAAAACATCACCCACTATCATATATAACTAGAATGTGGAGCTTAAACGCTTGTTTCTTAAAATAAGAAATCTGCATCATCAGGCCCTTTTAAGTCACAAAGATCTCCACTATACATGAGCTTTTGTGAGCCAGATGCAAAAATATCCCAAATCTTTGTCATAGGCGGAAAACACCTCCTTCTCCCCTAAGTCTAGGTATGGGAGGAGACTGCTGATAATCTATTTCAAGGAAGAGCTTCATTGACACAAAGGAAAATGCCACAAGCTTTGATCTCACCGCATCTCCTCATCCAGATCACGTCATGAACAAAGCCCAAGATTTAGGGGAGGGAAGACGAGCATAGGCGAAGGACAGAACAGGGGTTTATTAGACCTGCCATGCATGATTTTTAGGTCAGCCCGAGGCCAAACTTTGCTCCATACACCTGCCTTGGCATGGAGCTGTGTTTTCCCGAGCTATTTTGGGGACAAAACTGAATTTAGCCGCTCCCTTTCAGCATTAGGAAATGTTCATCTCACAGCCTTTCTGAAATAATGTAATACATCCAACATATTGAAACAAGATCCACATGGTTCATGGTTTAGAACAGCATGAATTCCCTTTGGTAAAGACATCTGCTAAAAGGTTACCAGTTATCTAAAAATCATTTTCATGGAATGGAAATGGATTTAGAATGAATACACTTCGATTTGGAGATAGATTTTCTCTGTGCTTGAAATCTAAAATGGTGGACAGTTCTGTGCAGCGTTGTGCAGTTCACAGATTTCTGGTACCAAGTGAGGCAACAAACGTCTCAGCCCATAAGAACCATCCCTGGAAGCAAAAGCTGACATTAAAGTAGTGCACCAGTGAGAAGCAAAGTCACTCAGCCAAGAAATGACAGTCCAACACGTAATGTAATTTCTAAATAGGATAGCTTTAATACGCATGGAAATACACAGACATTTATGTTATAATTTTGATCAATGTGTTATGCAGTCAGTTTAACAGTACTCTCTTTCTTTCTCCAGGAGGGTCAGGAGCTGATCCAGGAGAAGCCGGAGCTGCGTCCAGTCGTTCAGCAGAAACTGGAAGAGATCAGAGAGTGCTGGTCCGACCTGGAGAGCACGACCAAGGCCAAGGCCCGCCAGCTCTTTGAAAACAACAAGCCCGAGCCAGCGGTGAAGAGCTACTCGGACCTCGACAACCAGCTCTCCCACCTGGAGCAGCAGCCCCCCCAGCTGGAACAGGCACACCATCTGCCCACCTTCAATGAGCAGCTCCAGAAATTCCAGGCAAGTCTCAAGGCTCTCCAGGGTCTCTCTGAGAAGCTGTTGGCACTGTGTCTTGTAATAAACTCAGGTTACTGAGACCCAAATGATTCTCTCATGTGAGGGAAGAGAGCTGCTCTCCTGCCACAGATGATTACATTGGAGGAGTTAGCACCAGAAATTGGTCATCCCCTGACTCTATTTTGACCTTGTTGAGCACATTGTCCTTCGTACTGCCCTGCACATTTCAATATTCCTTCAGCATTCATAGTTCAGGAGCTGAATTATCTGCAGAGGTCTCCTCAGACCCAGTGGTTAATATGGGTTAAAACACTGAATAAAGCAGTTCCACCTTATGTCTCAGAGTAAGCTCAGCTTATTTCTCTGATAACTTAAGATCCAGACATCCAATGACATAACATGGAAATACTCAAGTACAAGTATCTCAATACTGTACAGAAGTTGATTGAATGTCCTTAGCTGCATTCCACCACTGGGCAAAAAACCCAAAAGCCTTTGATTCTTTGACTCCACCCTGTGACATTTAAAAGCCAAAAAGATTTTTTTTTCAACTTTTCGATGTAGCTAATGCTTATGACAGACTGCATACTTCAGCTCATTGCTGTTTATGTAATTTTCCCCCAGCTCGGACATGCATCCACAGAGGCCGCTGTTGTGGCGTGTTCTTAAACACGAGGTTCAGTGGCATTAGAAAATGCACCATATGCTTTTTTTCCCTTAAACTGAGGCGACTCATTACATAACCCTGAAATGTTCTGACAGGAAAACAGCTGATGTGCTGTGTTTGTCCATCCCTCATATGACTGTAACATGACCTTCCCCTTCACTCTGGTGCAGGCTATGGAGTCTCAGATAGGGGACTTTTACAAGGATGTGGGAGAGCTGGGAAGCTTGCAGGGGGTCTGCCTACCCCAGCGAGGGCTGATGGCAGGTGACAAGGAGGGTGGCGAGCAGTCAGGCGAAGTAGAGACCCGCATCGTCCGCCTCATTGAGCCCCTGAAGGAGAGACGCCGCATCCTGCTGGCTTCCAAAGAGATGCACCAAGTTGCCCAAGACCTAGAGGATGAGATAGTAAGTGCACACTTCTTTTTGTCTGAGTTCCCCATCCTTTCGTTCAGTACATTTTCTCTTCCACATATACCTTTTTTAATTTTGTACATCTTTCAGAGTTAGTATGTTAAGGTATACTGTGTTATGGTACATGTATTTAAGGAATAAGGATTTAACCTCCTCCACTCCACATCCTCGGCCATTGACTTTACTGTATTTCAGAGGGTGTAGCAGGCTTAGTTTTAAAGCTATAGTAAAGATGCTGGTGGTACATGAAACTAGAAAAGGGCGTCCATTGTTACTAACTGTTCCATGCTAGCTTGTCGGAAGGGGGCTAAATAATGCTCCAATTTGAAAAACTAAATCTTGGCCATGGAAAAACTGGCATGGCTACTTTCAAAGGGGTCTCGTTACCTCTGGCGTCAAGATATCTGAATGAAAAATGCGTTCTATGGATACCCACAAGTCTCTCATTTGCAGACATGCCCACTTTATGCTAAACTTAGGCAGATTTGAGCAAATACCATGTGGTTTTGTTTTGCAGTACAAATCGCCAAGTGTATTTGAATATTTCTGCATACTGGGGTCCATAAACAGTACTGGAATTGCATAAATTAGGTATGACTGGAAACCAGAGACCTGAGTGGATTCAATGAGCCCAATTGTATTCATGTGTGATGATGTCAGTCCCAATAGTAGCTCTTTCATTCCATGAGACCACTTTTTGAAACTTGACCTCACTGTATAAAATGACCTATTGTTACCTCTAGGATAATCACAGTCTCATGAAACTGTACAACCACAAACTAGAGACTGAGGGCATTCAGATGAGGTATGGCTTTACTAGGCATATCGACAATTAGTAGGCTTCTGAGCAATTTCCAAAAGAGAAGTGCTCGCCATCTATTTGTTAAAAAATGCAGTTCTTCAAGAAATCTCCAAATGAAAAGTTTTTGATACCAAATCACAGCATGATTTTTATGGCATTCCTCAAGGTCTTGGTGTCTTAATACCTTAATTTACCTTAAAAAAAATGTTATTTATATATTTTGCAGGGACAGTGCACAATTAAAAATAATTGCACCGTAGTTAGCTAACAACTAAGTATCTGTTGTCCCTGCATCTGTTGTCTAAGGTGGTATTGTGGAGGGGTTTCTGACCAATTTTGTCAATCCTGGCCAAAAAAGGTTACATTTTGCACCAAATCTGTTTGGCCCAAATATGGCTGCAACAACTTATGAGACATAATAGAGCCATCATATTCTTCCGTTATAATGTCCTAAACCCTTATACACGCTAGACATTTATTATTTTAATAGACCTCTAAACAAAACACAATGTTAATTACAGATTTATGATTAGAAAACTTGACACGCAGTGCTGGCAGATACTGTTGACCGGCTGTCTCCCCCTAGAGATCCCCTGCCCCCCAAAAACAAGACAAAAATTGGTTTATTGTAGGGAGGGGTGAAGTGGAAGAGGTTAAAGGATTAATTAATCATACAAAGTGCAAATCATCCCCATGGTTTCCATGTTTGATTCTGTGCATAGACCCTCACATTCTGAAAACTGTAATGACCTGACTGTGGTTACTTGATAGCTGTGGATTCAGGAAAGGCTTCCCTTGGCCTCCTGTAAGGATTATGGGAATAACCTCCAGAGTGTACAGCAGCATGTAAAAAAGAACCAGGTAAGTGTCAAAGATGACGTTTGGCCATGATCCACTGAAATATGACCTAAACCCGCTCAGTCTGGGAACTCACCTCTGATTGGTCCTTCAGACACTCCAGAGGGAGCTGACAGGGCGGCGGGCTCGCGTTGAGGAGGTTCTGGACCGGGCGGGGATCATCGCTTCGCTGAGGACTCCTGAGGTGGAGTTTGTGCGTGAAGGGGCGGGGCATGTGCGCCAGCTGTGGGAGGTTTTACAGCTGGAGACAGAGAGGAGGTCTGTGATGCTGGATGCGGCGCTGCAGGCTCAGCAGTACTACAGTGAGGCGGCTAAAGTGGAGTCCTGGCTGTCAGGTCAGAAGCTCCATCTGGTCAATGAGGAAAAAGGCACGGTACGGACAGCCCTGGTAGTCATACAGGTGTTGCTATAAATCCTAAGTGAAGGAACACACATCCTGATGGTATTGTGATATTTTTCAGGACGAGGCGAGCACCCTGCAGCTGCTGAAGGCCCACCTGGCTCTGGAGCAAACAGTGGAAACGTATGCAGAGACAGTCGGCATGCTATCCCAGCAATGCCAGCATCTACTGGAACTTGGACACCCAGACAGGTGTGGTATACACATATTCATACATAAAGCCCATGAATGTTCTGTTTATTGTGTAGGATAATATAAGGATTACACTGTCAGTGCTTGTTGGTAGCTGTTACATTTTGTTTTCTCTCACTTTTCAACAGTGAGCAGATCACCAAGCAGCAGTCCCACATAGACCGGCTGTACGTGTCTCTGAAGGACATGGTGGAGCACAGGAAGACCAAGCTGGAGCAGCAGTACTGGCTCTATCAGCTCAACAAGGATGTGGAGGAGTTAGAGAAGTGGATCACCGAGCGTGAGGCGGTGGCCAGTTCCACCGATCTGGGCCAAGACCTCGAGGATGTCACGGTTAGTCCATCAACGCGGTTTTAGTGGCAACGCTACTCTAACCACAGGAGATATTCAACTTTTACAGTAATTTATGAACAAACACATCATATCACTATGTGACATATATCACATCAGAACAATGAAATACAATTGCATTGTTCATGTTATAAAAAACAAATAATTTGACTTCTTCTCACAAAAAAGTTTACTGTCAAACTTAATTAGAGGCCAATAGTTTTTTCATGTCAGGAAATGCAGTATTTGTTCCTGTTCACCAGCTATTACAAAGCCCTGAATTATATATTTATAGATTCATTTACTCTCATATGTTCGTTTCAGCAGTGCATGTCTATATGAACCAGGATGCAGCAATTCTTTTAACACTGTAGACTTAAGAATCCACTACACTGTTAGAACATAATAAAACAGACAATTTAGCTTGAAAATCTCCACAGAAATGAGTTTTATGTGTAGACCAGGCAAAGTGTTTTCCCTGTTTAAAGGTAAAATAAAGCAACTTTAAAGTATTTTATTTAGTTTTTGATCCCCGTTATCATCTGATCAGTATAATTTGATTTTAATGATACCAAAAATGTTTTTCTTGTGATCACAACATTAATGTCCATAGCAAAAAGGCAAGAGGATAAAGTGAAAAAGGCCTGTAATTGCTGTTATGACCACCATTTGTTGTCTTCAGGTAGTGAGTTAAATAATAATCACAAGATTTACTTTATAGGCCCTTAAATCAATTTGCAATAATGTTTGCCTTTGGCCCCTGTACATACCAAATATGACTTTTAAATGCTTTGTTTTATACTTGGCTTGAGTCAGGCATGACGTTAAGTCCTTATAGTATGGACATAAACAAAAATGATTATAAAATACAAAATAGTATGTATGCTGGTGTTTCATATAAAATAACCCCAACATGAAATGCATACCATACATTCCTGCTGTCTGTAGACAGGCTGTGGATACAATTACTTCAACACTAATAGACACAAACTACCAAAGGACTATAGAGTTGAATCTGACAGTGGGTGCTTTCCGTTTGGCTAATGTGGCTCCTTGTCCACACTTACATCTCTTCCTCGCCTTGTAGCTCCTCCCAACAGAGATACAAGGAAGATAACTCGAAGATGAAGGGGTTTTACTTACGAACTTAAGTTCTCAGCCACTCCAGCGTCGTGTTTATGCTGATGAGAAAAAAGTAGCAAAGCATGTTCCATTCATGATTTGTATCACACACACATCCAATCATTTTTATGTTATGAATAAACAATCTGTTTGTAGGAAGACCCATCATGAAAGGCACCCTGGTAGCTCACAACTGGTGCTCTTTATACCAAGACCCTAATGCAGCTGCCATGGGTTCAAATCTCACCCGTGTCCCTTTGCTGCATGTCATCCCTCTCTCACTCGCCCCTTTCCTGTCTGTCTCTCAAGCTGTGCTGTCAAATAAAGGGAAAATAGCAAAATATACATACAACAAATTGTGTATTCAAATTTCTCGTTTTATCTGACCAACAGTCCAAAACTAGAGATATTTGATTTACAGTGATATAAGACAGAAAAAAATTGAAATAGTCACATTTAAACTTTTGTCATTTTGCTTGAAAATTATTATTATTATTATAAAATGTTTGTCAAAATAATTGCCATTTATAATAAAAACAATAATCACCCGCAGTTTCTTTTGCTGTCCAATTAAATCAGCTGACCAATCACTGAACAGATTCAACAGTAAAAAGCGTCGCTTAGGATACACCGGCGATTCCTTGCTGAAGTTCCTCGTCTCATCATGGTTGCATTCAAGGGCTCGGAACATCCTTGATGAGGTTGGACCTCGGTTGAGGCTGGAGGACAGAAGGTTGAGGATGGGAGGAAGAATGGAAAGCACCCACTGTCTCAAAAAATAGTTGATATTATGAGCCTTACAAAGGTCTTGTTGTATTGTATCAGAATGAATTAGTTGATGTTATTGTGTCCAGTCCCTGTAGTATTGTGTGGTTTATGTGTGTTCCAGGTGCTTCAGGAGAGATTCACCAAGTTTGCCTCAGAAACCAACAGCATTGGCCAGCAGCGCATGGAGCAGGTGAACAAAATGGTGAACGAGATGATCGACTGCGGCCACTCTGACGCGGCCACCATTGCTGAGTGGAAGGACGGACTGAATGAGTCGTGGGCTGACCTCCTGGAGCTGATGGAGACCCGCAGGCAGATGCTGGCGGCATCGCACCAGCTGCACAAGTTCTTCACTGACTGCAAAGAGGTAGAGTCAAAACAAAACGTCAGCCTGTGATTAAGGTGTGCCGTGTGCTTCATTGCCGTTTCAAAGGTACAGTCTGGCCGTGACATGCGGCTTCTATTTTTAAAGCGCTCGTGACGATGCTGTGTTGTAGGTCTTGGCTCAGATCGCAGGGAAGATGAAGCAGCTGCCAGAGGTGAGGGCATGCCAAGCCAACATTACCAATCCAGCCACCCTGCAGAGGCTCATGCACTCCTTTGAGCATGCCCTTCAACTGCTAGTCGCACAGGCAAGTGATCTGATTTCTTTCCGAAGTCACACAGTGTACTTGCTGCTCATGAGCACAACAACGAATGAATTTCACCAAACTTATTTTGGACAATGACCTGTATCGTTGGAATCAATGGAATAACCCACCCCTTAGGCTGCATAAGTATATTTAAATACATGCTTGTTTGAAATAGCTTGTGTTGTTCGACCAACAGTTGGAAACCCTAATTCGATCAGTTCGGTTTATTTTCTACAGACCATTCTTCTACTGACTATATTCTACTGTGATTAAGCTGCTAACTCCCTGTCTTGGTGCAGGTGAGGCAGCTGCAGGAGAACGCTGCACAGTTGAGAACCATCTATGCCGGTGAGAAGGCTGAGGCCATCATGGTGAAAGAGCAGGAAGTCATGGAGGCGTGGAAGGAGCTGCTGAGCTCCTGCGAGGCCAGTCGCGTCCAGGTGACTTCAGTAACCGACAAGGTGCAGTTCTTCTCGGTGGTGCGTGAAAACCTGATGTGGATGGAAGGCATCATGGGCCAGATAGGGTGGGATGAGCCCAGGTAAGGCATCTCTACACCTTCTTTTGTTCTGTGTTGAGATGCATAAAAACTATTGTGTACAGTATATGGTCCAGGTTCAGTAGCTGCAATTTAACTAAAGGTCTTTGTGGACTTGTGCTGTCCCTTTAGACAGAATTTCATTACAGTGTAGCGTGGAATTAGGCTGCTGTACCACCTTGACCTACTTTCTCATGACATCTGTTATTTAATTTTTCACATGATGTAATTGAGGGCTATACATTTTACACTGTAATCACTGCCATTGTTTGTCATTTTACCCAGCCAGTACAACTGTGCAACAGGCTTGAAAACACTCTTGGCATGAAATCTTTTAGCAGCTGTTGATATATCAACATAGGAATGAACATACAGCAACACATATTGTGGGACTGATAAAGATGGCAAGACATACGTACATGTCCTGTATTGGGCTGCAAATAACCATTTTTTTCCTTTTAGAGCTGAAATGTTTAATCGATTAGTTGACCAACAGAAAAAGTTAATATTTTGATCATTTCTGTATTTCTTCAAGCAAAAATGACTCAAATTATGTTGTTCCAGTTTCTCAGTAGTGGACATTTTCTGCTTTCTTTGTCTTATGTCATAATAAACTGAATATCTTTGGATTGTAAACCGATGGTTGACATTGAAATTAATCAATAATTTCAGCCCTTCTGAATGATATGAAACAGAGAAAACAGTAAATACCAACAGTCTGAGGATGCTGGGCAGATTGTAAAACCATTTGAGGCAAATTTGTGATTCTGGGCTAAAATTGACAAATGCTCACATTTGTGAAGATGGTAGTAAATGCTCTGCTTATTCTGCTTCATAAATGACTTAAATGATGAATTGAACATCAGAATTCTTCTCCATTCATTTTGACTAAGATGGACCTAAGATTCACACAATGTAACCATAACGTCCCCGGTTCAGCCTTTGTTTCATGTCATCCCCTATATCACTCTTTCCCCACATTCCTGCATGTCTCTACTGTCCAATATCAGACGTTAAACGTTAAAGGTCCAAAACATATTCTTTAAAAAACAGTACTAGTGTATATAGTCACCGTAGTGGCTCTGTGAGGCTGTAATGCTTAATGTTAATTAGATCTGCAACCATTAGTTGATTAATCAACTTAATTCATTGCCAACTATTAAACTGACTCAGCAATCAACTATCTTCAAGCCACCAATCCAAAGTAGCTTCCTGTCTTTCTTGGCTCTGACTGCAGACTGCATACATCCTCTGGGCTCCATGGATATCATTAACAAATTTCACTGCAAGCATCCAGTAATTTGGACCAAAGTGGTGGACTGGCCATCCCTAGAGCCACACCACTAACTAGAAATCCTGATGATCAACTAATTGACTGACTTAGCACTGGTACTGACCTAGTACTGTCTTATAGTATATTTTAAACTCTGCGGTTATAAGGATTCCCTTATAGTATTTGTTACTTAATCTAATCTGAATAACCTGATTTATCCCTCTTCAGGGATTTGACGGCACTGGACGTGATGATAAAACAACATCAAGAGCTGAAAGCCAAAATAGATGGCCGCAGCAAGACCATACAGCAGTGTGCAGATCTCGGCAAGATCCTGATAGCCGCAGGCAACCCTGCATCAGAGGAGGTCAGGCTAACAAACTGTACAGTCCATACAATTGATAATCACACATGCCACAAAAAAATACATAAAACCTACACAATCACTTTATGTAAGATATAAGCAATATGTTGTTTGTGGTCATGACTGCAATATCTGTCTGTTACCACAGATAAAAGAGAAGTTGGACAGCCTTCTGGCTAAGCAGAAGGATCTTGTGGAAAAATGGGACAAACACCAGGAAAGGTTACAGCGCAGTAAGTAACTCATTAGACAACTACATCAGAACCTAAGCAGCTCTTAACATGTTAAATGTCAAATGGGCTCAAACTGTAAATTTTTTTCCACTTTGTCCTGTTAATCATAAATCATGTATGAATCTTATTGATCCTGTTTGAGCTAACATTCCACTCTCACTCCGAACATGGCTGAAATGATAAGATCTTAGCTATGATCTAATGCATAAGTATGATCATAATGTACACACAAGCATTTAAACAACAGATTTCTACTGGAGCATGTGCATTAAAATGTGGTGTGAGGGTAACCATGCTGCTGGTCTGCTGTCACCTCCAGAGCAGGAAAGGTTCCAATTTGCCCAGGAGACGGTAAAGGCGGAAGCCTGGCTGAAGGCCAAGGAGCCGCTGATCACCTCCAAGGAGCCAGAGGGAGGAGAGGCCCGGGCCCAAACAGACGAGGTTGAACAGCTCATCCTTCGCCATGAGGCCTTCCGCAAGGCTGCTGTAACCTGGAAAGAACGCTTCAGCTCTCTCCGCCAGCTTTCCGCAGTAAGCTTGACTGTAGATAAATGTTTAATCAGTTTGGTGGAGTCACAATTTAATGCTGCTACATGAAAAAAAAAAAGTGACCTTGGGATGTTGTGTTTGCTTAGCGGGCATGGGCGCATGCCATGAGTTTGCATCGTCATGGGCTTCAATCTGTGACGTTTACTGCATGTGGTGCACCCTCACTCACTGCACCCCATCTGCCTTTCATGCTACATTGTTCAGTAGCCAGTAAAACAGACTGGTTTCAGCAAATCATTCTTGATAACATGTTGTACCTCTATTTTATCAGACTACCCTGCCTTTGATGTCTGGTTTTAATTGGGTTTGTGTGGTGCAATTAGTTATTTAGTTAACTCTCTCTTTAGGCTGAGAAGAAAAAAGAGGAGGAGAAAAAGACAACCCCGCTCTCCAGCCGAAGGATGTTCCCATTATCTTGTCTGACTCCCAGTATTCCCTCAACCAGTGCTACCTCATCTTTCTTGAGGCATACGGTACAGGCGCATATAGAACCCAAACCCTTACAGACCAGTCTGGATCTGGGTGCCACCCCTGCAACCCAGAGATTGTCCTCGGCCCTAGCCAGTTACAACCCAGTTATAAATGGATCAGGCTACCACGGACTGGAACAGCAGTGCAGTGGAAAGTTGGTGAGCTCCTCGTACCTTGGGATGAACCAACAGGCGGCTGGAGGTGGAAGCGACTCCGGTTTCTCGGCGCTAACCTCCCACAGTGGTGGAGCAGATACTTCTACTTACCTTGGGATAAACCATCAAACTGCTGGCAGTGCAGAGAGCTCTGGCTACTTTGGACTGACTACTGGGTGTGTGGGTGGTATGCAAAACCATCTAGGCAGTGTCAGGTTAGGAAGTTCAGGTAACCTAGCTCAGCAGCCAAGCAGCGGAGGTATGGGAAATCCTGGCTTTCTGCCTCAACAGAATATGGGCAGTTCTGGATATTTGGCCCAACCACAAAATATGGGAAGTTCTGGATACTTGGGACAGCAGCCTAATTTAGGGAGTTCAGGATATTTGGCACACCAGCCTAATATGGGGAGCTCTGGGTATTTGGCACAACAGCCCAATATGGGGAGTTCTGGGTATTTGGCACAACAGCCTAATATGGGGAGTTCTGGGTATTTGGCACAGCAGCCTAATATTGTGAGCGCTGGATACCTAGCACAGAATTATCAGAGCCCTGGGGGAATGGGTAGCTCAGGCTTTCTGGCACAAAATCATTACAGCAGTGGAAGTCTGGGCAGTTCTGGATACCTGGCGCAGAGTGGTGGCATCATGGACCCTAAAATGGCGTATGCATGGCAGCACCTGAAAGCTGACTTCATGCAGCCCAGGATCAACCACATCCACAAGGCTGTAAACCCCCTCCTAGAAGCCAGTAGAGTGCAGCGGGAACAGTTTGGGGACATCCCAATGGCAGACATGATGGGGCCAGAGTCGGGGCTGGAGCTCCTCCATGGCCGTCTCCAGAGGGATCCCCGTGGCAGCCGCTCTGATCCTCAGATGGACCATCTGAGGCGAGAGAGGGAGTACAAGCTGGGTAGACAGACCTCCAGCGAACAGGAGATCCAGGCAAGGCTGAACGAGCTGCCGCTGATCGTGCGTCAGGAGCGCTATCGGAGGCGCCTGGAGAGGCAGTCATCCAGTGAACAAGAGGGGAGCAGCAAGCAGAGACTGCAGAGGCAGGACTCGAGTGACCTGGAGGGCTCTGTTAAGGAGGGCTCTGACAAACGCTCAGGGTATGTGAATGAGTTGTGCTAGTGACAGTGAAATTCAAATGATCTTTACAAAATTTGGCTTTACAGTTTGCCTAGTCAGCACTGTCCAGCGTTATCCTAATGATTTTTAATGATTGTGTTTACTGTTTGGGTGACTCACGTCTGTCGTCATTACAGGGATAAGAGATCTACCATGGCAGAGATTGTAGAACAAGTCCAGGAGAGAGAAGCAGCAACTGTGAGTTAGCTTACATACAGTACAGTGTATGTTTGTTTTGTGTCTTAGAGTCACACTTTCTTTTCTTCTGCTTTCTCAGGCACGAGGAGAGCCTTATCGGCCTACTAGCAGCCTCTCAGCGCCTGTGACTCGTTTTGACGGCCGCCCTCGTGCCCGAGACCGCCCCAAACCGAGGAGGAGGCCCCGTCCAAAAGAGCCTGAGGAGACACGGCGTTCTCGCTCAGCTCCAGCTACTGGTGCCCCAACAACACCTCAGCCACCTTCACACACTGCCCATAACGAAGGCTTCCTCTACCGCAAAAAGGCCACCACCTCTGACCTTGAAGCTCAGCAGAGAAGCCCAAACAGGTGCAACACCACTGCACGACAACAAACAAAGCTAACAGTTGACCCAATCATAGCAACCGTGTTGGCACAATAGGCCCTTCGGTCTTTGGATTTCTCCTCATGATGATGCAGTGTGCAAGGTGCTCTAACAAGTTTGGAGGATGGTGTCTTTTTTAAAACGTTTCCAAACCCAAAAATTTAAGGAATAAGGTTAAACCGCATGTTTGCAGAGCCCTGGAGTGGCCATAGAGAGAATATATATATATCTGATTGATATATTGATATATATTGAAGCCACATTTACTACATTCAGGCTTGAAATTTCATGCATACAAGATACAATTTGTTCCCTCACTTTGATTAATTAGATTTGAACTAATCATGAATCAATCATGTTGTATCCACATCATTCATGGGCAAAGCTGAGCTGCCAAGTGCACCCACTGTAGGACTATCCTATAAAATCAACCTGATTCTTCACCATCTTCACCAAAATGAACCTACGTTGAACACACAGACTAACCTCCGCTTGTTTTCTGATAAGTATCTGATAACAATTATAGCTTCTACCAAACTTCAGCCCTGAAGGCTTATTAGAACTAGTTAAAAACAACTCAAATATTAGAGGAAGGTTGAGCTGTGTCTTGTGCGTCTTTACACACAGAGGGTCTTGGATGACGGACCGTAGTTTGTGTGTTAGCCTGCCTATGTGTTCAGCATAGGATGTTCTGTTAGCTCTCTGTATACACTTATCTTGTGGCCACGAATTCATCAAAATGTGGGAACGGATTTGTGTCTTCTGGCATGCAATAGTATTTTGAATAGTGTTTTTAAGTAAAACATTTTTTTTTTCTCTCTCTCTCTCTGGACACATAAGAAATCTTATCATGTTCAGCTAACTAGCAGTAGTAACTAAAGCAATTTTTTGGATTAAGTTATGTTAAAACATTAGCACCTCCATTGTGTTGTATTTCCCCATTTGGGAAGTTTACACTGCAGAAACCCCTTCCAATGAGAGTGTTACGTTTGTTATGTTAGAACGAATAACAGTCTAATCTAACGTTTTTCTTATCAACACTAGGAATAACTAGCTCTACACTGTAACACAAGAGCAATGCTTTTTCTTTATTTCCATGTCCTCTACATGGATCATCTGGCGAGGATGCTGACTTTTTTCAAATAACATGAAGCATTTATCACAATATTTAAGACCCTTTATACAAGATGATCAATTTAAACAAGTCAGCTGGAAAGCCTGCTTTTATCTACCTCTGTCTGCAATCACGTCCCCCATACTTTCTAAAAATTAAAGAAATCCCATGGTAAATCTACCAGGTTTATCACAGCATATATGCATGAATGGAAAGCTTCATAGTAGCAGGTTCATAGCAAGTTTGTTGTCGTACCTTCGTACTTACTGTGTGTACTTATAATTTTAGTAGAAGCAACAAGTTACGTCCAAGTATCCCAAGTTGTGTCCAGAAATGTATTCAATCAATTTGTTGAGATCTTGTCATTTTGATTTTACAGCAAGTCCTGGGTGAACGTATATTGTGTGCTGAAAGAGGGAAAGCTGACCTTCTACAAGGATGCAAGGAACCACAACACAACGTACAATGAAGAGCCTCCTGTTGACCTTAGTACCTGCTCATTTGATCCTTCAATGGGATACAAGAAGAAGAAAAACGTCTTCATTCTTCAGTAAGAGCTATTTTATTGTGGCATTTGTGATTTTAAATTGTTATTGAGTTATTTTCAAATGTAATGTTTATTTACAATTAAAATAAGCCCTGCCCTACTCTGACTCTGAGCCAGGACATACAACAATGATTGCAAACATACAGGCTTAACAATATAAAAATATATATACGCACATACACATACACACACACACACACACAAAAGGCTGTGTATTGTCAAGAATCTGGTGATTTCACATATTGCACATGATATATCATGATTTTTTTAAATCTAGTTTCACGAAAATTGTCATTAAAAAGAACATAATAATGTGTTATAATATGCATAAAAGATAATATAATATGCATAAAATCTGTGTTTAAAAAAAAAAGGTTTACTTTGTAATGCAACCAGAACAGTGGGCATATGAATTTGTATTTATCACAGTCCCTGTAACATCAACTGCCCTCAGTTTACGTTTCCAACACTGCTATCTAGCGGTTTGGGGTTTAAACACAAAAATCAATAGTGAAAATATAAACAGCCCCTTGTGGGATTATCTTAAAATGAGATGACTGTTTTATTAGAAAAGCATCTTCATTCAGTCCTCCTTCAGTGTTTCTGAGAATCTATACAATATCACAACACAAAATATCACAATACGATGCTTTTCCATTTTTCTACACATGGAAAATCTGATTGGTACTCTGAATCAGCCAATACAAAAGTTTAGGTATTAGAATCGTTATCAGGAAGGAAAAAATGGTATCAGAACATCTCTAAATGTTATTGTTATTATTAATGCATGAGAAACTGACAATCCCTGTTGATTTTCTTTGCAACAGAATGAAAGATGGAAACAACTTTGCATTCCATGCAAAAGATGAGGTAAGAAATGTTTTATTTAAATAATTTTTAAGACAAGCAAAGATAGGACATAATCCACTGTCCTTTTCTTTAGACCTGCTATGCATCTAGGTCCATGAGAGATAGCACCTCTCTAATTTAGGTTGGCCAAGTATTGTCTGTGTATTCCAAACCTGGAATAGCTTATTAGGCTTTTTTCATTACCATGAACACACACTGTAGTTTGTTTTCACTCAATGCCACACTGTCCTGCTGCCCCAAATACTTACTAATGCACCAATGTGGATTAATCCGCAGCTGAAAATAGTCCCCAACAAATGCACCATTTCTTCCTGTTTTCAGTGACAAACACTAGTAATCATCTGTTTCAGTAATTACTGAGCCTCTCTAGATCAAACTATATATTTGTGAGCCATTTTAAAGATTTATGTCTTCAGCAAGTTTATGACATTTGCTGACAATAATAAAAATATAAAATATCACCACCCTTATCCTTGAAGAATAATAACCGGAATAATAACCAGACAAGCAATGCTTGGAAAAAAATGAATAGATTTAGGACATTTTGTTCAGTTTTCACACCTTTTGATCATCACCTTCTGCAAATAAATGTCAGACATTGCATCAGTTTGCTATTTTTAATTTCCTTCCTTTTTGTGTTTCTCTATTAGATTACAAAAATAACACGATATGAGCAGAATATACAGTACACTGTCTGTATTTTCAGAGATCAGGACAACTGCGGGGGAATATTTATTTATTCTCAGGGAATTATCTCAGTCCAGTTCCTATATGGAGCCTGTACTCCCTACTGCGTATAGGTCTTCAAGAGACTTATGAAAGACTCTCATTCACCATAAAAAAAATAGAACACTTCACTGGAAGGACCTAGTCCCAGCGTTTTTAAAGCTGCACCATGTCTGCTACACTCACTTGTTCTGTGTTCTCTTTTGAGAAAAAAATCTGAAACCAAGAGGAAGATATTTATATTTGACACTCTTTGCTTTCATGCTGGCGACCCCTAGTTTTGCATTAATTTGAGTTGCGGTATTTGTCCGTTGGAGACCTTATTTCAATACAGCCAATCAAATATTGGATACATGGTCACACTGAGCCACACAGCAGCCTGCTACACAACACAAGACTCTGAACATCAGACCAGCTTCCTGCTAAAGTCTAACTTACAAACATCAACACACGTCTTGTCCTGCATCTTAACTTGTTGAATGAGCGACTGGGGAACAGCGCGCTGCTAAAGCCAGTACATTAAACAGCATGTAAGCTAACCTGCAAATGTCCCTACTGTCCAGTTAGATGCTAGTGTGGTCTTTACGCTTCAATATTAATAATTAAAATTCACTAACAATACGCAGTCTGCCCATCTCATATAGGCTACAGGCCAAGTTACTTTATTTTGTCTCTTGTTCTCTAGTAACTAAAAACTAAATTTGATCTACAAAACTTGACTACAAAAAGAGATAACTAAATGTGATTTCTGTTGGACTTTAAATGTTTCATGTACTTAATCTACTAGAAAAACATCAAGTGATTTTTATTTATTTATTTATTTATTTTGCACAGATTAGAATTACATTTAAAAAATAACAAAGATTAAAAAAAGTGCAGGGAGAGGCAGAAAACCCTGATGGGCTTATTTAAAGCCTCCACCTAAAATTTCAGAGTTATAAGGAACAGAAGTGAGTAACTTGTTAGTTATAGTAATAAACTAGAACTACTATATACCAGTATAGTTATAAATCCTCTCATTTAGTAAGGCAAGGGGGTTGATTTGTAAAAGTGAGAGCAGCCACAAATGGCTGATGTAATAAAGGAAAGGTACAACACTCTTTCAAGGTCATATTCAATTCAATTGTCAGTTTCTGTGTACCGAAAACACTTCTCACCTCTATCACCCACCACTCTGTACGGACACCTGAAATCAGTTTGTTCAAATAATTGGATTTTCTTCTCTGCTCACATTTTGATCTGTAATGAAGAAATGGCGTAAATCCCAACACACAATATGAAAAAACAAGGGGAAAATTTTGCATGAGAAAGAGACGCCTTATAATCCTGTGTGTTTTTCTGCAGGAGGACCTGAAGGCTTGGACTTCAAATATCACCACCTGTATAGCTGAGCATGCGGCTATGGCCAAGTGGGACAAACCAGGCACCTCGTCCATGGACCCCGACCACTCGGAGAGGAAGGAGAAGTCGGAGGGGGACGCAGATGCCAGGTCAGAGAGGTCTGAGCTCGCCGAGGGGGAGGAGAGGTCCGAGAAGGAGAGGTCAGAGAAAGGGGATGGCTCTGAGAAGTTAGACACGTCAGAAATTGCCGACAAAATGGAGGGCGGGGCGGGGGGCTCCAGCACGTCTGGAAAGAGCAAATGAGGAGCCCCCCCCCCCCTTTTTGTGTTTTAACATTACTCACTGACTAAAAGGTGTAGGAGGCGGTGGGTGGGAGGGATGGATGGAGAGCATGTGCAGCTAGGTTTGCAGATCCTCAGTCACAGAGCTGGAACACACTGAGGCCACGGCCCTGGACTGACTATTGTTACTGTGACGGACTAATCTCTCAGCCCCTCCCCTTCACCCAGGCAAAACATCAGTGCTTGCATTGTGCCACCTGCTGGTAGATAGGAGGCTGGCCCAGACAGACAGACAAGACAGACAGACAGACTCCAACAAGTGGTCCCAGGAAGTAGCCACTGTCACGTCCCATCGTCGATCGTTTAATCTCTTGGATTCACAGCATCTTTCTGTATGTATCTTTTGACTGATAATGTAATGCTCTGTCTAGCTAGACAAACCCCGAGAAGTGGTGAATGAAATGTTTCACAATATTAAAAAAGAAAAAAAGTTTTTTGAAGCAATATACTTTTTTATTTCTTCTCTTTGTTGAAGAGAGAAAAAGGGGAAAAGGAAACAAGATATAATTGCAAATGTGAACTCTATGATTTGTCACATCCACGTAAGCTTACTCCAGGCAGTTGTGCACCTTAGACACTTGACACATCTGTATACTAATCATAACAACATTTAATCCCATCACATGGCTAGCTTTGAATCATCTTAATATAATGGAATGCTGGTGTTACCCACCTGACTTCATTGGTGTCAATGAATACACATTTCTACAGTTTCTTTTCAGTTTCTATGATTCTTCTTATTGTTATTATTATTATTATTATTAGTTGTCCACAATGATCCATGTCTAGAAAAGAGCTTCCCATCAAATTCTAATCCATTAACCTGAGGGGTGTTCAAAGTGGCGATGCTCAAAGTGAAACTAAGCCTATGTGACACAATGCCTTTGTATACATGACGAAAATCAGAACATTGCATGAAATAGTCTATTAGTGCACCTGTTAAACTTGCCTTTATTTTTATGTTCTTGAAATAATTTGGGAAGTATTGGAATTGCAATAATTTAATGTGAGTGGGGTCGGGGGGGGGGTGGAACTGGATTTTGCTATCATGGTCCACTTCTCAAAATCCAGAGGTAAGTTTGACAAAGTAAGGCTGTCTTCTATCCACAGTAAGCATGAGAAGAAAGGGTTTTTGGTTTTTTTGGTGTGTGGGGGGGAGGGTATACCAGAGAAGTGACTACTCCTTGATCTGTAACATGAATTAAGAAGCCAAATGGCCCCTCTGCTGTTTGTACTGTATTACTGCGATCTTATTTTCCACAGAATGTACTGACTTCAGCTGTGAAATGTTCAATCACCACCAGAGTTTGTGGTGCCCCAAAATTGTAAAGCCCTGAAGCAGTTCACTGAGAGTTAACCTCTCTCTGTACCCTGTGTCTTTCATTTGAAGTTCAAACTGATTGGATTCTCTCCATCAAAGGCAAGTTAAATGTAAAACTGTCATGATTCGAGTCATGAATTGTATATACCTATCTTTGTATGTATACCAATAAATCCTGTGCTCTAATAAAAACAATACTCTGAACTGAAATGGGTAAAATTAAAACATTTGTATTAATCTACAAATAAAAAACAATCATCACTCAAATATATTAATGTTTATTACATTTAAATGAAAAATATGCAAATTAGGAGTCACTATTAAATATCATAGTGTATATACGTACACCAGTATCTAGTTGTATGAAACACCTTTTACCAGGGAAGAGCAGCAGGACATACTGTAGGTATGCTTGTTGTATTTTTATATGCCTATATTTATTCATATCAGATTCAGGAGTTGGCCCGCAGCCCCAATAAGATCTTGTAATAATAGCTGATTGAGTAGTCAGTGTGTCTGTGAGAGGTGTGCTAAATTTATATATTACAGACGAGGGAAAAAAATCAACTAGCCTGGGCAGTTCAGTACGCGCCGCTCTGGATAATCTAATTATTGGTGACTAAAGTGAAGTACAGTATGCTGTGATCACAGAGATGAACATGCATTAGTCCACTTACTGTTTGTTTGTCATGTGTGTCAATTATTTTTTACATATATAAGTACAATTAAAGCTTCCTTAATGTCAGTAAAATGTAGCCATTTTGACACATTGTACTCACATTAAGGAGAAAGGGAGAAACACATGCAGTGTGCAGACAGCAGCTGAGACTTTATTCAAATGTACTTTTGCATTTTCCATCCTATCAGAGTGCACCTCAAATATGTAAAAAAAAAAAAAAAAAGAAAAAAAAAGGCTAATTAACAGTCTTCCTTTCTATAAAAACACCAAAAGTATATCTCAGATGCAGCAGTATTTGAATTCACTGACTTGAGGATTGTAGTGACAGTTTTCTGTGTCTGTATTACTGCAGCCTTCAAATTAGCTGAATGAGAATAGATAAGCTATGTTATGATGTGAATGTTATTTTCATTTGTCAGTCACTGTTTGTTTTTACATAAGTGCCATGTCATGCAGTTTGCTGAAACAGCGGTTCAGAAGAGAAAACAATTTGAAACACGAGTAACGTTCCATTTGACTTGACACTCGTCTCGACAGTGAGCCTGTCACTGCAATACACCTTTTTATCATTGAAATAGGAGCTATAGTATTTTCATGTGGCTGTAATTGTTCTGATTCATCACTCATGGCAGATATTTAGCCCGCATCACCATGTGCGTTTTTAAGTGTTTGCTTCCCATCACTTTTATGAAACACACAGGGGATTTTTTTTCCACTATGTTATAACAGTAACAGTCAAAATTAAATAGGCAGCATAACCGTGACTGAAGAAAAAAAAATATTGTGCAAACTTTGTTTCCTTCATTGATGGTCTTACAAGTGTGTATGTCTTTGTTACTTTACATTACAACTTGCTGCTATGACATTAAATAAACCTCCAAACCTGCTGATGCAAACTTGACGTGGAATTGATGTGGACACACGCACACAGACACACGCACACAGACACACACACACACACCCTTACAGTGTGTTCCTTACATTTGAACTACAAGCTGTTCTCGTCTCAATTGCACATTCTTGAAACTAACAGTCGACTCTTACTGCAGCTCTCTCAGAGTCTGTGAATGTGAGGGTGAAGACTCCAGCTGAAAAGACACATTCTCATCCTGAGGTAGCAGCAGTAGCATAGATTAGCACTGACTGTACGTGACCAGCTCCATATGCTAAAGCCCTGGTGCTTCCAACCTCATGGAACACATTTTGGAGGTCACATGTAAGACATATTAGGAGCATACAGTGAAGTATGTGTGACACTGATGTGTAAACAGACTCAAATGATGAAAACATCTTTTTTTTTTATTAACATCAGAGTCTGTGTTCAGTGCTAGTGCCCCCCAGAGTTAGAGCTGGGCTAGCCTCCATACTGACACTACTGCAGGACTGAATCATTGGTTGGGAATCAACTGAAGGGCTGGTGTTTTCCTATTGGTGTCCATATCAAAGGGGTTATCTATATGCTTCAGATCCATCCCTGCTTGCTTCTGTACATACAGTAACTGGTACAACACAGACATTTTGATGCTGTATTTATGGCTTTCTTATAGCAACCAATGAAAAATGCTGAATATCATCCCAAGCTACGTACGTGCACTTTTAAAATAAAATGTGAGTGGACATGTGAATAATTTATGTGAGTAAAAATAAAGGTTCATGCAACTTTTGTTTTGCACTAAAGTAAAGCCCCCTGCACAGTGTGAGACAGTGGTGGTGATGCAGGGTCTATTCTATAATAAAACACAAAAAAACATACATACATGTATACAGTATTGCACAATTCTGCACAACTTGATGTATGTTTTAAGAATGTACATTTTAATTATGATTTGTTTATTGAATTGAATAACATCTGCCAATATCTGTCTGTGGAAATATGAAATATGGTATTGTCTCATAAAATCTCTTCATCCCTTGATTTTGCCATTGTCTTTTTTTCCCCCACTCTAGCATGGCCAATAACAGGCACCTTATATGGTTACAGTGAATGTTAATCAGTGTAAAATGTCCTTAGCAAACTGCAGGGAATCTTAAGATGTTGTAATTTAATTGTCTGATCGATCACACACTGCTAACTGCTTTTTGGCCTAGATAAATATATCTTGCCACTGTGTTCTGGCATGTTCAGTAATACTGTATACAGCATTACCCAAAGGACATGGTCATGAAAATAATTAGAAAAAGAAAAGTAGTATTACATGCAAACTAGAGTTTAGTGAGTATGAGGATAATGTACTTTTTTACATGTGTTAATATATATACTTGTAAATATAGCAACTTTTACTACAAATAACTTTAATAGTTGTCTTACTCTTTGCTCTGTAGCTCAATTCTAAAGTTGTTCTGTGAATAGTTTTCTAATAAATATAGACACACGAGCCATCTTTAAACCCCGTCCATTCTGACTACGGATACAAATACAGATAATTCAGTTGGTTGAACAGATACAGATAATGATGTACTCGCTCATCTCTATAGCTCTCCTAAATCCTAAAGGAGATATGGTTGGTTTCCAACATTTTCACATCAGTGTTAATGAAATGTTGCATTACTTTGACCAGCCAATAGAACAGACGCCTAAAGACTGCAAATCTAGATTCTGTAATCTGGGTTAGAGGGATCCTATCTGAAAATTCTTTGAAAAACCAAGACAAAACCGACAATATTAGTTTTATCTGGGATAGCAAAAAGAGGGATTACAAAATCTGGATAATTCTGATCTAGATTAAAGGTTGTGAAATACTGGGCCCAGGTGAGACAGTAGGTCCTGGCTGACATTCAGTCTGTTGCAGAAGGAGCAGAGTTCAAAGAGATTAGCCGTCTGCTTGCCACCCTCAGCCAGTGGACAGTGAGAAGTGGCTGTGAGAAGTGAGACAGTAGGATGACACATGGAAAAAAGATGGTGGATGCTGCATGAGGAAGAGTAGTTTCAGTTCTGATGATCTGCCTGTCCAAGTCTTTTTGTGCCCACATGAATGACCGAGACAACTGAGACGGACTGGGATCTTGATTAATGATGTGGCAATCAGCAGTTCTTTCTTCACGGGGGTGATACCCAGATGTCTATTTTCCAGATGGCAGCACTGGATAAGAATGTGTGTCATCTTCGATGGCAGATCATGTAGGATCTGTAAGCAGGCCATGCATGACATCGCTGAGGTTAGTGGTTTGTTTCAGAGGCCTCTTTATTCCTGGAAATAAACAATTAACCCTATCGTCCATTTTCTATTTCTGGTCATATTTATATCTATAATACACACAAAAATACACATTAAATATGACTTTCTTCAATTAAAAATGCTTTCTAGTGAAGGAGACACCTTGTATCCAGCAACAAGTTTTAAAATGAAGAATTATCTGCATATTCATAGATTGTTTTTGTAAATGAGGGACGAAGAGTAGGATAATTGTAAAACTTTTCTGTGGGGAAACCATGATCAAGTATTTTCTGTCCTGAAGTTGTCTAATGGATTTGATTCGGTTAATCAGCTCCCATTCTCACTGACTCTTTTATGGACATGGACTGTATGGAGCTGAGGGCGTCACGTGACCTGTCCAACCGCTTGTATCTAGGGGCGTGGCTCTGCACACAGACACTACGCAGCTACGGAAGCTTTGGCGTTTACCCAGCTAACAAGCTAGCTTGCTGAAAATGGCCAGCTGGGGAAGGCTCGCCGCGGTGCTGAGGAATGTTTGGAGGAGCCCTCGGTCTCTGAAGGGTTTAGCCCTGCGCCGTGCTGTCGGCCCGGGGCTTGTTGGGTGTCTAGTGGGAACTGGTGTTGTCGGTTATTACCAGTACCGTGCAGACAACAGGACTCTGCCCTTCGCCGTTCATGCTGAGGAACAAAAAGTGAGTACACACCTAGCTAATAAAAGTTTGTGTTGTCGAAACTGAACACGAAACAGTCAGTCAGACAAACACTGGAGCCTTCATACGTATGTATGTTTAAATATTAAGTTATATGTTCCTTAATACAAGTGACACTTCTATTCATATTTACAGAAAGGGCGTAAATAATGCCAAGAGTTGGTATGAACAGCTAGCGCCCCCCAGCTGCCACTCAGTGACAGCACACTGTTCTGTGCTGTTAGTAACATGGTAGTTCATCGTGTTTCTGTCCCCGGTGCTGTTTCAGGAAGCCGCAGCTCCACAGCTGTCTGCCAGGAAGGTTCGTTTCATCCAGTTCGCCTCAGTGGTTTACGAACAGGAGCCCTACATGACCCCCAGAGACTTCCTCTACTCTGTCATGCTGGAGAACGTCGACCGTAAGCTGCACTGATGTTCGTTTAATGTCGACTGACAGCATACAGTCTTTTGAGCCAACTTACCATCTCCGGTACAGGTGGAAGACAAACTAAAGGAACAAAAGATTTTTAGGATGCAATAACCGTTAATTACCTGCTTCTCATGGCTGATACCGCTGGGATAATTTCACTTTTTTGTATTTTAAAAAGTTAACCTGTAGTTTTAAAGGCTGAGATGTGGTCACTCTAAAAATTCTTTCTAGTAAAGTCCATCAAAAAGACTATCAACTGATAATTTATTGGCTGTAATGTAATTATTGGAATAATTATATCAATTTCCCATTATCGGACTGTGATTTATCTGTCCCGATAATTATTGTGCATTTGAATTCCATCACCACAACATTTGTACTTAAAGGTCCAGTGTGTAACATTCAGGAGGAGTTATTGTCAGAAATGGAATATAAGATATATACGTGTGTTTTCATTAGTGTATAATCACTAACAATGAACCACCGACAGTTGATTGTTCTTTATATGCTGATCGTGGTGCATAGCTCATGCATGAACCCTCTGTAGTTCCAAAAAACACTTTAAATTGAATTCAGCTATGCTGCATATCATTATCATACAGTAAATTGCAGAGGATGAAACCCAGCAGACATCAGATGTGTAAAATAAAGATGCATGAAAAATTTCACATGCCGTTTGATGTTGTCTTAATAACAAATAACTTTTGTTTCTGCTCACGTAGGAAAGCTGCAGAAGAAAGTTTTAACAACACAGGTATAGTTACATCACTACAGAGTGTAGTACTGACGTTTTTAACTGCACATTTGTTATCATGTCATCAGTTTGGCTGTTCTGTTTCCTTTTGTAGGAAGTTAACAAAATGTTGGCGTCTGCCTCTAAAGCTTGGGCTGGTAATGACCTGTTCAGAACACTAGGAGACAATGGTGAGTCTTCAGTTAACGCGCAGCACCTTCAGATCTAATATCCTGTGTCCAGATCTACTCAGACTGTACCAAGACTGACAAATCTTGACATCAGAACGGGGTTCAGTGACTCTGGGAAGCTTTCCCGTTCACATTTAATTGTATCTGAGTTACACTAACAGGAAAAACTCATTCAGATTGATTTAAAAGTCAGTTATTGGGTATCAGTATATATTTCTCTCTCTCTCTCTCTCTCTCTCTCTCTCTCTCTCTCTCTCTCTCTCTCTCTCACCCCAACTGGTCGAGACAGACGACCACCCACCTAGAGCCGAAGGGTCTGTCCTAGGTTTCTGCCTTTTAACAGGCAGTTTTTCCTTGCCCTTGTCGCCAAGTGCTTGCTCATGGTGGTACTGTTGGGTCTCTGTAAATAATGTTTTAAAGAGTTCGGTCTAGACCTGCTCTTTTTGAAAAGTGTCTTGAGATAACCTCTGTTATGAATTGGCGCTATACAAATAAAATTGAATTGAATTGAATTTCTTTGTGCCTTGCAGGTTTGATATCCTATACAGAGTATCTGTTCCTGCTGACTATCCTGACCAGTAAGTAGATTCTCAAACCTTGCATCAGCTGCTGGGCCTTACCAGGTCTTCCCCCACTCTCAGTAAAAGTGTGATGAATGGATTTGCCTGTGATGTTGTGATTTAAGCGGTTGCATTTCCTTCAGTATAATGCAGCTGGTTCTGTCTGAGCTTTGCACACCTGCACATTTCAGTGGAGCTGCACAATTAATCAGCAGCCGTTGACCTGATTTGTGTTTTATCTCTCCACGCTGTTTTCCAGGCTGTGTTGAGAACTGCCCTACTAACCAAGAGCATTGATTCATGTGCATTGCTATTGCAGAGCCCCGTACAGGATTTCATATAGCTTTCAAAATGCTTGATGTTGACGGCAATGAGCATGTGGACAAAAAGGAATTTCTCAAGGTAAGACCTCTGATGTGTCGGCATATTTTCTATAATGTTGTAGTAATATTTAGAGCCCGACCGATATGGGATTTTTGAGACTGACACCAGTTTTAGAGGGAAACGATGTCCCAGATTACAGATATGGCCGACAAAGTGAATTTTGAGCTGTAATGAAAATATACCTTTTCTATGTGGATTGTGCACAGATTTTGCACCAATATGACGATGCAAAGGTACTAAGAAGGCTGCTTTCTTAAACAAATAACTGTCTAAAGCAGTAGTTTTCAGCCTTTTTCCTCTTTCTGTCGTTGTATAAACTGAGAGCAATATCTTACCACAAGTATTTTTTTTCTGCGTGATGTATACAGGGGAAAACCAGTTTTCATATGAGCGCATATCAGATAACGTATACACTGATGCCGATATGCGTGCAATAGGCCAATATCTGGCAGTATTGTCGGCAGGCCAACATATCGGTTGGGCTCTTTAATATTGAACATAAGATTGTTTTATATGTAATCTAAAGGGAGGACACATTGTATGAGAGGGTTGTCATTCTGTTTGTTTAAATGTCTGTGTGCATATAAATGTCACAATATTGCCATCTTTAATGCTGCGTCAAGCGCTGATGCTACCACAGTGGTAAGTATGGACCATGGCACCATGTGAAGGTGAGGGAGAGCTGCACTGTTAGCTACTCTAGTCTGTTTTCCATCTGTCATGTGTTTGCATCTGTGCAGCCTGAGTCAGCGCCTTAGTGTATTCATTTACTT